GTATTTAAAAGACGTGTAGATGAGGTGCTTAGGGAACGTGGTTTAGTGGGCATGGTGGTGTTGGGTCGACGGCTGGACTCGATGATCTTAGAGGTCTTTTCTAACCTTAATGATTCTATGATTCTATGTTTCTTTCGTTAAGTCCAGTACAAAATACTGTGTCCATTAATTGCATACTTTCACCATTTGTACTATTTAATAATTGATTGCAAGGAAACTGAGGAAGATGTCTGTAGCTGCTGTGGCTGAAACTTTCTGCTGGATGGAACAACCAGTGATCTCTACTTCTGTATTTTGAAAAAGGTAGTAGGCAACATAACATGATTTTGTTTAATACTTATTATGGTTACTTTTGCTGTAGGCATATGATGCTTCTGAAAGAGCAGTATGGAAAACAAGTGATCGTTAACCTGTTGGGAAGCAGAGGAGGGGAGGAGGTGCTCAACAGAGCTTTTAAGGTAAAAGCAAGGATTTTTTTTTTTTCTTTTTTTTTAACTGCTGATTTCCCCTGAGCCTCCATGTTCTTCTCTTTCCCTTCTGGCCCAGAATATACTTCTGAATAGTATATCTTAAGAAATGATGTTATCTCTTTACTAGATGTTACATACTGAGAGAATGGCGCTTCATAGTCTCATGGCTTAATTTCCAGTATTGCCTTCCTGCTTATTTCTTCACACATTTATGCACATTCTCTTTAACCAGACTCTAAAAAAAGAAAAGCCCTTATTCTCCTAAGAGTAGTTCACGTTTGCAAAAATGAATCGTGGTCAGCTTTGTCATAGTATGTAGTCACCTATGCAGTCAGGTGCCTCACGGGATTGCCAGAACTGCTTGTAGGCCAGGCCCTGACCCTGGCTCACTGAGCGTAAGCAAGCTGTCTTGCTCTGGTTGTAATGGGAATTGGCTGCCGGAGCACCAGATGACAGTCTGGTGTATGAAGGGAGAGGTTTTCCTGGCCTCTGTGTGTCCCTAGGCACAACTAATACCTGAAAGCATCTGAGTTGTGCTTTCAGGATGTCAGGCATTGTGGAATTAAAGCTGCGCTGAGTTCTAGTGCAGTATTCTCATGGCCAGATTTTTTAAAACTAACGTGTACTTGAAGCCGCAGATTGGCACTGAGTGGGATTTGCAGCCGAGCATAGCTGCCTGTATCTGGCTGGAGGCTGGTGCAAGTCTGCCTCCTAAGTGCCAGTTGCTTTAGAAATCTGACATAGATACTTTGGAGTGTATCTTCCTAAGAATAATATGAAGAATGGTTTAAGTATACACCTGTAGTAAGTGTTATGTATTTATCATTGGTAAAGAATGATACAAGAGTTCTGAGTTCTAATGTTTACTGTGTGAAACTAAGCAAAATGAAAATTGTAGTTAAAGAATAGTTTCTGATTTGTTTCCCTCTCTGTTGGAATAATCTACTCGAGACAAGGAGTGTTTTGAGTTTTTTGGCAGTTTTTCTGTGTGACCATTTCCTCCTCCTCCAAAAGAGCTGGGGAGGACTATCAGCTTCCCCAGTGGAAAGTGACAAAGTGAAAGTCTCCCCCTGTACAGAATATGGCCAAAGAAAGTGATTATGACTAAAGCTTGCAAGGCGATGAGGAAGGTACAGAAGTGAAGTCTGGTCCTAGCTTCTGTTTTCAGATTCTTACTGAACTTCTGTATGACACAGATAAGCCTCTATAATCTCTTGATTTCTCTGTCTTTAAAATAGTTTTTATAGTTTATTTTGCAAAAACATTGAAATTTAGGGGTAAGAGATGATCACTTGCAAAATGTTCAGATAACTTACGAGGATACAAATCTGACTTTTCTTGTTAATTTAATACTGATATTTTATCAAACACTCGCATTCCTGAAGACAGTGTTCTGGCAAGTATCATACAAACAGAGATTAAGTCAGAAACAGGGCATCTCTAAAATAAAGACCTTGCATTCATTAATTTATTTTAAATAAAGATCTGTTTTAATAAGTCAGAACAGGGCATCTCTAAAATAAAGACCTTGCATTCATTAATTTATTTTAAATAAAGATCTGTTTAAACTTTATTGATGTTTGAAAATAAATAAATTATGAAAGCATGAAAGCAGCTGAAAGAATTTAGACTGGCAGTACTGGAAACTTAAGTTTTGTACTTATTCAAAACAATCACCTCTTGGTCTTTTCTGTATCTTTGTCTTTTAATAAATGGATGTTTGGTCTGAATATATAGTTAATTTTTACTTTGATGATTTTAAAGAGCTTGAATTAAAAAGAAGGCAATTCACAGGGGAATGATTAGGAATTATAACTTTTCTCCTTTTCTGTCATTAGTTTATTTCTTTGTTTCTCTATCTTCCTTTGCTTGTATTCCTTGCAACTCTTGCTGCAATCTTAGTTCTTATCAGAGTTGGTTCAAAATATTCTTGTAATTACTGCTGCTGGGTTTTCTTGATCAGAATGTCATCGCTACCGTTCATTTATGCAACAGGAACAAATGAAAAATTGTAAATGACCAACTTACCTTCAGCTGTTACGTGAATCAGCTGTTATCAGACCAAAAATCAATTTTGGTTACTGTTCCCAGTAACGCTGTTCCTCTCATAAGGATCCCCTATAACAGATGTAATTATGTTTACAGTAAAACCAATGCTGTAGTGTAGAGTTATGAATACTCTGACAATGATTTACTCTGAGGCAGCGGGTAAATATCACCCTCAAGTGCATTACTAGTGCCAGCAGCTGTGAAGGCAAGTTGAGGTGTCAACAACAGAGAAGCAGATACCAAGTGTTTTGGCTTTTGTAACAGTGTAGTGAAATGTATTTTGCACGTCTCTCTTCAAACACCATGCAACACCTTTAAAGTTGTTTCTGCGGGGGAAGGCTTAATGGCTTACTTGATGCAATTATACTGGTGTAACAGTATATACATTTTACATTTTAATGTAATATCAGAATTGTTTTGTTCAGTTTGTGTCACAATCCAAGTGGAGTAAAGTATCCGTCTCTTGAGATGAGAATGTGCAGGAGGGAAGGGAATAGACGAAGGCTTGCATAGTTAGAGTTCATATAACAGTTCTCTCTGGCTTTGTCGTGGAGAGCAGGATGTATTATTGTCGTATCTATTACGGATACCTTAATGAGGTTTGTGGTGATTACGGAAATGCATGTGAGGTCATGGAAATTGGAGATGGAAATAATGAGGCTATTTGTGCCTCTTCCTTCATTTTTGTGGTCTACCACAAACATTTTATAGTATGTTTCCTGGGACATCATTTCTTTCTTACTTCCTCCCCAGGCACCCTCTACCTAAATTTAGGGCCATGTTTATCCATGTCTTGGCACTTCAGGAATGCTTAAAAAATACACCCATGCACTGTTATGCTCCTGTACCTTAAGCAGCTCTGGACACCTTTCCCATCAGGGTCACGGTGCTGAGCCTGCCCAGAGCATCACTGTTGCTGTATACCCTCATGCACAGAGGTAGCAGCCCACTGCTGCAGGGCTGCCACTAGCCAAGGCATAGACAGCAACAATTCTGAGGTATAATTTGCAGTTACAGTTTGAGTTCCCCTGCAGAAAAATTGGGGTCTAACAATCCAGTTTACTTTTGGAAAGAAAACAAATAGGGAACTTCAGTTGCTTTTTTCATGTCTGGCCTTTCAAAATTCCCTATGAACCTCTCAATATTAAAAATGTGATAAACAGTCAAAGTTTAGTAATGATAAAAGCATGCTGGTATCAATCCTTAACCTGTGGCTTGAGCATGATTTGTTTTCCTTCATTCTCTATCTAAACAGAAACTGCTATGGGCCTCTTCCCATGCGGCAGACACTCCCATGATAAACTTTGACTACCACCAATTTGCAAAAGGTGGGAAAACTGAGAAACTGGAGAATTTGCTGAGGCCTCAGCTGAAGTTGCACTGGGAAGACTTTGGAATCTTCACAAAGGGCGAGAATGTAAGTCCACGGTGAGTGTCCCTGCCCCTCTGTCCCAGCATAGCCAGGTGCCACCTGTCTTGGCCTTCCCAGATTGCTTGCTGTGTTTGGACCGTGAGCATAAATGACCATCTTGAAATACAGTTTTGAGACAAAGCGTAGCCTTGGTGCTAAATAGATTATTTGGCTTAACTGCATCTCCATTGTTTGAAATCTGGAAAATTACCAGTGCATGGATTTGCTAATACAGTTTTGCAGATGTAGTCAAGTCATTAGACCTGTTAATGGAATACATTGTGCACAATCTGCTTGCACTGTCAAAATGTGGGTGGGTATATTCAGGCTGAACATTTGATGATCTTGTTCAATCAACTCACGATTAGATGTTATTTTAAAATATACCTTTTTTTCCTCCCTCCTCTTGTGTTTGGTTACCAAAGTCTGCAGACAGGTACGTTTCGAATGAATTGTTTGGACTGCCTGGATCGTACTAATAGTGTACAGTCCTTCATTGCACTGGAGGTGAGTTTGTCAGAGGATCTTTCGTGGATGCCTGTACTGCATACATTGTCTGTTCCATGGGGAAGACAGGCAAGAGGGCATAAGCCTCAGTGATACAAGTCTGTCTTGCCAGTTCTAACGGTGCTGGCCGGAATACTTAAACTGAGGATAAAGAGCAAAAACACATTTAAGAACAATGTTGTTGTTTTTTCTCCTTCTGCACCTAATCCAGATCCTGCTTGCTCAATTAGAGAGCCTTGGGTTGAACTCTAAATCTATAATTGAGCGCTTTGTGGAATCCTACAAAGCAATGTGGACTCTCAACGGTCATAATCTGAGCAGAGTATTTACTGGCAGTCGTGCCCTTGAGGGGAAGCACAAGGTAAAGAAAAATGGCAAAACTGTTTATTCACAAGTAAAGAAAGATGTCCGATTTACTCTTCAGTGTCACTTGCACTGATGATTCCTGTCTGATGTAGGTTGGGAAACTCAAGGATGGCGCCCGCTCTGTGTCTCGCACCATTCAGTCAAACTTTTTTGATGCAGTAAAGCAGGAAGCCATCAAGTTGCTGCTCATGGGTGACTTCTTCAGCGAGGAATATGCAGACAAAGGCAAGATGCTCATGGACCACACTGCACTGCTGGGTAAGGCCAGTGTAAATCCTTCGCTTTTCTTTTGTGTCTGTTTTTAGCTGTCTGATATAAGCACTTGCACCCTTTTGAAAAAAATCAATAAATAAGCTGTTTTTTGCACAAATATATTGTTTAAAACACTGCTTTCAAGTGACCATAGCACAACTCCGTGTGTTTTAATTCCGCTGTGCTTATTTCTCATATTTTGTTTTGGACTTCTGAGTATGTTTGTCTGCTGTTTGATGATGATCTCCTCTGACAGTTCAGAGGAGTTGGACCAGAGGGAAGGATTTTAGGGCTATATTCCCAGTCTGGTCCTGTCTGAGTTTGTCTTGAGGAAGTCTCTTGAGCTCAGATTTTTTATCTCCTAATTTTTGGTCTGCAGTTTGCACATGCTTTTAGCCATTTGGGTCTTTAAAGGCACATTTATGTTCTTATTTTGGTTCATTCCCTGCTTTACTCCAGGCCCTGATATTCCACAACATATACACGGTTGTTTGCACCCATCTAGAGTAAACCAACTTAGCTCTCTCCGAGAAGATACTTGTGTGCAAAATATAGGATAATTGCACCCACAGGCAGCATCAGGTGGTCAGTTCGCTCCAGAGAACTGCTGGATTTTAATAGGATAGACGTGAACCTTTTAGCACCACTTCAATCCCGGGGGCATTCCCTGATGCGGACCACAAGGAAAATACAGATAGCTTCTCTATGCCTGACTGCCAATGCAAATCAGATAGTTAAAGATTAAGGTTACCGCAGGTGCTCACACAAAAAAAGCACACTGCTAATTTTCTATACTCATCAAAAATAAATGAATATAACTGTTTCCCGTGAGGAGTTCTGACCAGGCTGGAGAACCACGACAGTGCTAGTTTTGGACTGATGTGAGACTCTGTGCTGCTCTCCGCCTTTCCCCCCACACTCTAAACTTCTTAGGGCTTCAGTTTAAGTCATAACTTGTGACATGCTTGATCGCTGTAGGCTAAACTGAAAAGATTAAGGGAGGAAAAAGAATTTTTTTGCTTATTACTTGAAGAAGTGCAGGAAACCGTATGATGAAAGTGAGTGACCAGCCCTTCACAAGCTTTCAAAGTGTACCTGGTTTCTGGAAGAGAAATTGCTGACATCAACCCCAGTTATCTTGTAGTTATTGCCATTGGAGTTATTCCTTAGCTTTTGTATTGTGGCTGCTAGGGTACTAGCACTAGCATTGCTTTCACAGTGACTCTGTTGCTGCTGTCTGTATGCTTTCTGTCCTCTTACGGTACATTCTTCTTTTACACACCCTCTTTCTGTCTCCTCTCTTCCGTCAGTGACTCCAAGTATTTTGAAGGCCATGTCAGAGCGTCAGTTTGAATTCACAAGCTTCAAGCGTGTTCGTGTTGCCACGGGGACCTGGAATGTGAATGGAGGGAAGCAGTTTCGAAGCAACATCCTCGGTACCAGCGAGCTGACAGACTGGCTGCTGGATTCTCCCAAGCTCTCTGGAGTTTCTGAATTTCAGGGTAAGACTTCAAAGTCAAAACATGTAAGCAATATTTGCTGGCACCTCTAGGGACAGCGAGTTGGGACTCAGATTTGACCAGCTGTTCCTTTCAAAGGCAGTGCATCTTGGAGTGCATTTTCTGTCAGTTCTCAGGGATGTATTCAGCCCCATGTGGACTTGTGCTGCCTCACCTCAGCAGTGGAACAGTGTGTGTGAAGGGCTTCTGACAGTCAGAGAAACTCGTGGGTCTGTGCCAGGTGACTCTGCTTTGAACCTTCAGCAGGTCAGAATTCAGAGGTCTCTCACACCATCGTGGTGTCTGTCTGCCTATTCTGCATCCCATATTTCATTTTCTTCAATATCTCTGTCCTTTGTTCTTCATTGTGAGTGAGAGCTATGTGCTTAGGTGCCCTCAGAATGTCTCCTTGGTCTTCATCTGGAGCTAAATTTATCTGTACAATATGGACTCTGAGATTGGAACACTCTGGAAATGTTACTATCAAAACCTTCAGACAAAAAGAGTTACATTATTACATTTGTTGAAGGCAGTTTCCTTTCTTTAGCAGTATAGAAAGCTCTTGTGCTTGTGGCTTGCTTAAATTGGCTGCTGAATTTCTTATTTACAGAACAAAGTCAGGTATTGTAATTGATTTACAGATTTTATTACGGAAAATGAAAAGTGAATGTTCTGTCATTTAAAAATTCAGTGGTGCAAAACTATGGCAAAACCTGTGCTTTTATTGTTACAGTGGAACACTTAGCTTCCTTCAGGCATCACAGGGATATTCCTGTGCCTAGCCTTCAAGCTCAGGAATTCATTCCTCAAATCCTTGGCTACTTACACGAGTTGTGTCGTTTGAACCCTTAGTGCTTGAGTGCATGGATATGTGATTAGGTGCAGACAACTGTACTCTGAGCAGCTTGGGTGGGTGATTGGTCCAGTCTGTTTCAGAAACAGTTTAGATGTGTTAGCACATGACTATTCCCATAATATCAAAATTTCTTGACAGCCTGCCATGTGCTAGCCTTGCCAGGCCTTCCCTTGAGAGAACTGGAGGAGCAGGACTAAATGATACAGGCAGCCATAATGTGATAGGTCTAAGCAGCTTCTGGAAGGGAGCTGAGTTATGGTATGGCCACACAAATGTCTGTGTTCGTGGTAATGTCAGTGCAGTGCCTGCACCAATGGGTAAGTGTTCAAAGGCAAATGTCCAAAATTATTAATGGGATATAAACATATGACAGTGCCTGTCATGTTAAGCCAGTAAAGGAGGCTAGCTGTCATGTGCTAGTTTCACCCTTCTGTCTACAGAGAGTTGCTGCATATTTTACTTTTCTTTCCATTCTTATTTTCTGAGGCAGGTCTGATTTAGGTTCTTGTGGTTGTCTGCTATTTAGGTCTTCATGTTGAATTAACTTACTGTTACCTCGGTCGTATGACAGTTTAAAAAAAAAATAAAATCCCTTTAGGCAATGGACAGACCTGATGGGTCAACAGATATGCTTCACACTATTATATGAGAGCATTGGATCTTTGGTGTTTTACCAGGTAATATCCACAGGCCTGGGCCAGGGAAGGGAGAGTCACTGTGCTCTAGAGTGACCTAACCTAACCTTAAGTTAGACTTGGAAGAAAGAAGATAAGAAGAAACTTCAAAGGCTTCCTTAAATAAGTAGATAAATTTACTAAAGGCATTGAGAGGGAAGGGACATACTGGTGTGTGGACAGTAAGTTCAGTTACATAGCAATCAGTGTCAAAAAAGAAAAGGAAAAGCATGTTGGGTAAAATGACAAGTGGGTGAAAGATGGTGGGTAGTGAGATGTTGTGGCTTTAGTGATGAGTGGGGTGAGGGAGAGAGAACATTTAATATTTTCTCATCTTAACATTGCTACAATATAATGCTCTGTTCTGAACTGCTTCCTGCAAGAGAGATGGAGACCAACTGGTGGGAGAAAAGCAGGAAAAAAATTTCACAGGAACTGCAGGGGTTGTTTTGTGAGATTAGATTAAAGGAGCTATGAATATGTATAGCTTGGCAGGGGATACACAAGATAGAACTACAGGAATGATCTCTGTCAGAAATTAGAAAACAAGTCGTTAGAAGAAACAACAAAATAGTAACTCTTGTGTGACTTTTTTCTCTTGCCAACAGATGATGAGAACTGCCCTCCTGACATATTTGCAGTGGGATTTGAAGAGATGGTTGAATTAAGTGCAGGGAATATTGTGAATGCCAGGTAGGTTAAAAAAAACCCCAAAATGACGAAAAAACCCAAACCTCAAAAACAAACAAACAAAACCAAAAAAGAGCACTCTCTCCCCCAAAGGAACCAGCCAAACAAAAGCCTCCAGAGTTGTGCAGTGTATGGTCAGGTGTGTAGAATACTTCCTTCCAAGTCTGTTGCTTGTAATTGTAGCTGGAAATACATTTGCCATTAACCAATGGCACTGGGACAGTATTGAAAGTGCTGTTTCTCTGTGAACTTCTGTACAGTAGAATACACTGTGTTTTCTAAGTCTCTTAAGTCTTTGTGTTGGCAGAGAAGGATTCTGATGGTTGACATTGATTTAACACTTGTCCTTAAACCCCTGCCTGATGTTGGGAAAAATGTGCTCAGTGACTGCAAACATAATTGGCATTCATGTGGGAATTCTAAAATGAACGAAATGTCTCTGTGGCTAATTGTCTTTGTGAAAATTATGGCTAGAGGAGGAGTTAAAGGCAAAGCCTGAGCTTGGCTCGTCAGCATGAACGGTAGGCTGTGGTATATACCGGTCCTTTTGAATCTGAAGGAGGAATAGGGATGGAACCCTGAAGATAATGTTTCCCATGCTGATTCATCAGGCTGACCAGTTAGTTGTCTGTTTTGGGAATGACAAGTTACAGCAGTGCTTAGCATGGCTGCTGGGCTGGCGGTATATCTGCATGTATCAGTTGGCTTTGGAGATAAGAAAACACTAGTTCTGCAGAAGCGAAGGTATATGCACCCACCTACAAGCCTTCAGCTAAGAACAGCCAACAGCTGTGGGTAGCCAGTCATCTCCCAGACAGGGAAGATCCAGAGAAGATCTCCTCTTCACTGTGAGCACAAGAAATCTTACAAGTCTCGAGATTGACATGGATTTTTGTTTTTATGGTTATGATTACTACAATCAGCTTCCAGTTACCCCCAGTGAATGGGGATATCAAATGTCATGTGAGCATGGATCTTTCTAAGCGTAGTAGACAAAATCCCTCTCACATCCAGAAGCAGGATAACTGTATTTGTGCGCTGTTCCTGGGCTCGCTGACTCTGCTGACTCTGGACTGGTTCACAAGGAGGCATCTGTCTCTACCATGCACCCTACAGCACTTCCAGTTCTGGAGCCAGCATGTGTACAGCCTAATGGATGTCTGTAAACCTAAGGCACGGTTAATCTGCTCATTTTATTGACTGTATGTGTTTTGTTTTGATTCCATTAAATGATTTTATGTTTGTTCCAGTACAACGAATAGAAAAATGTGGGGAGAGCAGCTTCAAAAAGCTATTTCTAGGACTCATCGCTACATTCAGCTGACATCAGCACAGCTTGTTGGTGTTTGTCTTTTCATCTTTGTACGACCCTATCATGTCCCCTTCATCAGGTAAAAAACCAAAACAAAAACAAAACAACTGTGTCTTCAGTAACATCTGCTGTTGGAGTGTGGCCAGAGAGGGTGGGAGTGATTTTTCAGCTTGGTAGGAATTACGCAAACCTGGATTCTGGTCTCTGCTCAGTGTGGGATAGAGACATGTTTCCAGGCAGCAGTAGTCTGGAGTCCATCCTCCTGGGTAGCGCAAAGGCTAGGCAGCCCCAATATCTTCCTCCAGTTCAGCTGAGAAGCTGGGCGTGCTCCAGGTGGGCAGTCAGGGTGTAGCACCTTGTTTGGGTGCTGTCTTTCTGGAAAAGGAATGACCTGAGCTAATAAGTCCAAGAGTGTTTGGAGCACCAAGTGAAGGCAAGTGCCTGCCTCTGCCCGAAGGGCAGGTTTTACTTGCTGACCCTCTCCTTAGTGTTTCCATATGGAAACAGGGCTGGGTCCGGGCCTGAAAAGAATGGTGGAAAAGGTGGAAGGGGAGGTGGGGGAAAGAGAGCTAATTTTGCCCCCTGACATTTTATAGAATTGAGAGCTATAAGGGCCCATTAAGTGTTTGTCTCTCCTAGAAGTCACAAGAAGCAGAACTATGTGCCTAGAGGCGCCTAGAGGGTGCAGAGCTGTGTGTCTTCAGCTTACTAGCACCGATGTCCCTGGAGACTGATCAAACTCCTCTTGCCCCTAGAAAATTCTAATTTTTATTAAAGAGGAAAGATAAGAGTACCTAGCCACAGAGATTTCTGCATTAAAATGCCTTTGCCACGAGCAAGAATTATGCAGACTAAGTGTGAATGGGTAGGAAATGAGTAATTAGCCCAAACTATCTTTGGGCATCACTCTGTCCTTAAAGTCTGGAGTGATCCTGACAGTGCCCTCTACTCCATGTTAGGGGCACTGATTGGCCACTGCATTTTGTGATTAAAATATCAAAAGCTGCCTCTTTCTTCTCTCTGGTCTGATACCTACTTGAGAAGATGAGCGCAGAGCTTGTGCAACATCAAGTGCTCTAGGCTAAGCAGAGTAATGCAATCCAGGTAGCCCTGATGGTCTTGCATTGCTGCCTTTCCAGTAATCTTTCTTAAACATGATTTTTAAAAATTACGTATTTTTGGTGGTATGAAGCAATCCAGAAGAGAAATGTTTCTGTCAGTTTTTGACTTTTCACTTGCCTTACAAGAGATTTGAGCAATCCAGCAGGAAGTGCATGGTTTAAATGGAGATCAGAAGCAGAACAGCACAGTGGCTCTGTTGCAGCTGTCAAACTGCTAGGAATTGAATGTAGCCCTTTGAAACTCAAGAGAAAAAGGGAAGAGTTTGATTTTAGTGACCGAGTTTCATCATTTAATGCTAATGTGCTGCTATGTGTTACGTGAGCGTAATCAAACCTAACCTGTATGCATGTGTAGTTTTTCCCATGTCTAGAAAAGGAAAACAAAAACGATCAGAAGTGGAAAAAAAAGGCTTCTGTGCTTACAGAGAGTGAAGAGATTAGGACAGAAGTTAGAGAATAGAGAAATAAAATTAGAGAATAGCTGAAGCTTATACAGCAGTGAAAGGATTGATGTAGTTGAATGTACAGTGGGTTATCTCAACGTAACCTTTGCCATGAATGCAAGTCAGATAAATATCAGTCAGCAGTTGGGTAGGCAGGCAGCAGGAAGGGAGAACTCCTTTGAGTGAAAAGACTGAACACGTGCTTCTTGTGGAGCGCTTGAAACCCATCTTTTCATAGAAAACATTGATGGTCCCGTTTTGCCTCCCTTGAGGGTGTCTTTTCTGGAGGTTTTCAGCAATCAGGAAAAGAGAGGAAAATAAAGAGGGGAAAAGATGGGGGGCGGAGAAGAGAGAGGAAAATGAAGAGGAAGGGAAGAAGAGAGCTGTAACATCTTGCATCATTAGATCATGAATGCTTGACAGTAACCCAGATAAGACTTAGTGATTTTCCCCCTGCCCCTTGCTTAAAGCCAGTAATGTTCTAGTCCAGATCTGCTTGACTTCTATCTGGAAAGTAAAATTTTCTCACTGGGAAGGACATGCATGGTGCTGGGGTTGGTTACAACAATGATCTCATCATTTACTTATCTGATCAGACAGGCATGCTTTATTCTCAGAGTAGACTGGCTATCTGGGAGAAATTATTCTGCGAGCAGGTGGTCTGCTTTGCCAAGCAAGTCATCTTTCTGTAGTGAAGTATATGCTAATCATGACATTGAAATACTATGTAATTAACAACATGGAGGACCTAAGCAATTTGTCGTCAGTACAGAACTCATTTTAGGAGTTAGGTATAAATAGTTGTATCTAATAATCACTGATTTTATTGCATCTGATTTAACAAATTATGGGTTATGATCTGTTGCTCTTTAATTGACTGAAAAATCCGGCACCAACTGTGAAGTTGGGTTTCAACATATAGTTGCTAATTAAATTGTTAACTCTGAAAAACGGATTCCCATATGTTCAAAAGTAAAAGGAAACATAATAGTAAATTTAGTTATTGACACTATTTTAAAGATCATGGTAGAGGTAAACTTGAAAAGTATATTCTGTAGAAATTCTCAATATTTCAGAAGTAATGTCTTGCTGGTCTTTTTGGAAGGGGCAAGAAGAGGAGGAAAATACTTTCAAATAGTTTTATTTCTATACTATTGTATTATACTTAATTTGAAACATAAATACATGAACAAACTAAAAAATGTGCCTAAAAGCAGCAAGCTTTCTGGAGGGGAGAAGACATGGCATTGTAAACTGGCTTTTCCTTTATGTTACAGTCAAAGTTAATTGAATGTTTGTCCGTGCAGCCCTTTACTTTCTTCTCTTTCTATTTTTTTTTAAATACAGGGATGTAGCAATAGACACCGTGAAGACAGGAATGGGAGGAAAAGCTGGAAATAAAGGGGCAGTGAGCATTCGTTTTCAGTTCTATAGTACCAGTTTCTGCTTTATATGCAGTCACTTAACTGCTGGGCAGACTCAGGTGAAAGAGAGGAATGAAGATTATAAAGAAATCACACAGAAACTCAGCTTCCCAATGGTAAGTGTAGGTGTATGTATGCTAAAAACATTAGAGATAAAGGTTGCATCTTTACATTATGAAAGCTGGTCTCGGGCTGTCTTTGATGACAAGTCATCAAAGAGTCATCTCAGTGCCACGGAGAATGGGCATAAAAGAAAATGGTAAAGGAAACGTAAAAAAAAAAAAAAAAAAAAAAAAAGGAAGCATGTTTCACAGGAGACCAGATAGCACCCAATATAGCACTTGCTTTACAAAAGTTCTACGCCTTTCAAAAAATACAGTTGCTGCAGTACTTGAAAAGTCCTCGCCTTTGAGCAGTTTTCAAGTCAATCTTTCACAATAGTGCAACTTAACTGACAAATCTGAAGGCCTCGTGGATAAGATCTAGGTGACTGGTGTTAGAACTGGAAAGCATGATATTGATAGCTCTTGCTGGCACTAGGTAGTAAGGGTTCTTAAAAGACCATCCGTGCCACTCAGTACATCATTGCTTTAGCTGCTCCTGCTTGGGTACGATATATCAGTTCTCGGTCACTGATGCAGTACTTTCTGTTCTCTTCATTTTGTCCTCATGAATGTGTCACTGTCAAGGAACTGCTGGCTTTTCTCAGAGTGTGGCAAGTAGGCACTACTGGTCTGTATGAATAACTTCTCCCCTAAATAGTGTCAAATCAATCACCCTAGTGTTTTATTTCACACTTGTCTCCTCAGGCCAGTAGATAACCCATGGGATTTGGTAGCAGTGCTTCTTTGCTTCCCTTAATGTTGGTTGCTTTAATTTCCACAATGCTTTCTTTCTCAAACCTCTCTGGAGAGGCCCTAAACCAGGGAGGGAAAGGACCAGTTTGTGTATTCTGGTTAGTCAGCAAAAAATAGCATTTAGGTTGCAAAGCATAAAATTTTAACTCCCTGTTGTTTGCAAGGTTTTAGAGGCTTGGCACATGCAGCATATCAATCAGTTGTTTTGTTTTGTGTAAGAACTAATACTGACAGTCTGAATGTCCTGCATAGAACATCTGTTCCAAATGGCCAGAAAGTTGTACTTATGGTAGTTTTTCCTTCTAATACCTCATTAACTATTTTATGTCCTTTCCATTTACAATAGCTAAATGTACCTTGTGTGTATAATGCATTTAAAGAGTGCCCTCTAGTGCTGTGACAGCCATAGCGCTGGAACATTTCCTTTACAAATCTCTGGGTTTTAGAGGTTTATAGCTTAACTAAAAAAAAAAAAAAA